CAGGAACCAAAAGCTACCTGGTTTTTTCGAGAAACCCTGTCTCGAAAAAAAATATATATATACTAACAAAAGAAGATCTAAAGACTAGAGACACGTGTGGTCCTAGGAGTTGGACGGTTAGTGGGGAAGAGGATATTAATCAAAACACATTACATTCCTATGTAAAATTACCAGAGAATATGATTAAAAATAAAATTTAAAAACCATGTCAAAATGAAAAAGATTTTTTTGATGATTTCTAAACATGACTTTTCAACTTGGTACATAAGTCATTCACTGACCGGGCTTTCAAATTCTACTCAAATTAGATCTCAAAGTAAAGCAAGTAAAGGATTCAGTGGTTAGGGCTTAATTTTTTTCTCTTTCTCATTAAAAAAAATTTTTTGAGAGAGAAAAGATATCACACTGTTGACCAGTAACTTAAAATCCACCTGCTTCAGCCTCTAAAGTAGTTGGGATACTGGAATTACAGACAAGCAGTATCACATCTGATGGGCCATCACTTTTCACAGTAACAATTTTTAAGAGTTGAAATTAGTTCAAATGAAAGGAGAATCAATAATACTGAACTTTTATGCTATCATCCTAACTTTAATATGAAAGAAGCTAAAGGTTATAAATGTGCCTCTGCTCTTTAATCAACCTATACATGTCAAAATATTTCAATTACCTTGAAAAATGTTTAAGTAATTCAGATTACAGTCTGCAACCTCATAATTTTAGAGTTTGGTGTTTTCTAAATGACATCTATGATCAGATTTGAATATAAGCATATAGAAGATACAAAATGTAAGGTTTTCTTCTAACGAAACCATTTTCTAAGAATATTTTCTGATATTTGAATAAAATAATTATAAAGACTTGTTATTTTTATTGCTCAATTGCACGTCAAACATTCAAAGTAACGACCCACTGACTAGACATGTAGCTCAGTGGGTAGAGAGTTTTCTGGCATAAACAAAGGCCTTGGTAATTCCCAGTATTTTATTAGCATATATTAGTTTACATATTTATTGCTTTAAATAATGTTTTTATTAATTCTTTGAAACGTCCATACAATGTATTTTGGTCATACTTTTCTTCTCTCTTTTTTAAAAACCATCAAGTCCAGTTTGTACTAACCACCTATGAGTGACTGCCAGGGTTGACACCATTAAAAAAAAAATAAACTATCTCTCTCAGCAACCATCAAAAGCTAGTAGCTCCTCAGCTAGGGATGGGGATTCCTGCCCTCCTCCACAAGGGGATTTTATCTGGCTGGAGCTTACTCGGGTCTTATGCATGCTGACACAAACACTATGAGTTCATATGTGCAACTTCCCACTGTGTCTAATTATACAAAATAAATTTTACTGTGACATTTCATGCATGTACATAATGTATTGTGATCCTATTCACCAATTAACTGAACATCTTTTAAAGCACTGAAACTGTCTTGACTAACAATTTATTAAGACTTAGTACTAAAGAGATGACATGAAAGTGCATATGAAGAATATGTAAAGTGTGTACAATTGAAGAAATTAGCAAACATCACTTATATAATGAGCTGATACATTTCAAGGAAAGGACAAGGCCAGTCACCAGTTTCCAGGTTATAACAGACAAGGGCAAATAACATTTCAAATGTCACACAGAAAAAATAAAACACTGTTTAATAGAAATACAACTCAAATCACATCACCTAATTTCTCATAGAATGCATTCAGGTTCAAAACTGCATAACAGGTTAAAAAAAAAAGTAGTGCATTAAAAAACTGCAAATGACTTGTAAATTATAAGTTCATATTTGATACACAGGATTAAATACACAGTGTCATGTAAGACAAGAACATGTCAGGAGTTATTCTATGTATATTTTCTAATTTGGCAGTTATTTAATATTTATAATAAATATAAAATATTTAACATTTTAGCATGTGGTATTCATGAACACACCAAACTACTGTGAATTCTAGCAACAAAATTCTACCACATATGATTACTTTTTGACTGAATCTTTAAAACAGAAGTAGCCTGGACCTATAAGATAAAGATGTTCAACAGATAAAGACGCTTGCCACCAAGGTTGAAAACCAAAACTATATTCCCAGGACACAGAGTGGAAGTGGGAATCTGACTCCTACAAGATGTGCTCTGACCTGGACACCTGGGCTGTGGTATTAATGTAGCTCGTCCCCAAATACACACACATGCACACAGCACACACACAAATTGCTAAATAAATAAATGTAAAAAAAAAAATAAATGAAATAAAGAAAACAGAAGAAGCCATCAAGAAAATCAAGTTCCTAAACACTGCCATTCCAACACTGCATAGCAGCCTGAGCATCAGCTACCGCTCTTTGAACTACTCCACCAGCAGCAGGAATCTAACTCTATCCCAAGAGACCAAATTTGCTAAAAAGAACATCATGTGCAATATCCTTAGAGAACTGGCCAGCTTCTATAGTGAGCAAAAAGGTAATCAGATGAAAGAGAGAAGCAAATAGAGATTTTTGCTAGGCATAGAGCTAATTAATCAACACCAGCTGCTTATAAACAAAAGAAGATCTTAGCTGGGGTCATCCTTGTGAATTCCTGAAAATTTCTCTAGAGTCGGGCTTCTTGCTAACTCCATAGTGGCTCCCTCAATCAAGATATGTCTTACCTTGTGTCTTTGCCCAATGAAAACAGTGATCCACTTTATGTTTTAGCAGAATGTCCTAGAACTGGAACTATAAAATTTATATTTTTTGTGTCTATCTCATTTTGTTTGGCAAAATACTTCTGATGTTTTTTTTCCTATATTGTGTGAATTAGTAAGCTTGCTTTTTATGAGCAAGAATGAGAACAACACAACTTATTGTTTTTTCTGATATTGAACACATGTGGTGATTCTGACTCTTGGGTGTTATTAATAAAGCTTATCTAAGCATTTCTAAAAAAAAAAAAAAAAGATATGTCTTACCTTGCTCTCATCTGTCCTTCCTCCATCTTGACTATCCCATTCCCTCAAGTTCTCCTCACCCTTCCCCTTCTCCCCTTCTGCTTCCCTTCCACCATCCCTTATCCCACTACCCCCACGTTCCCAATTCTGTCAGGCGATTTTGTCTATTTCGACTTTCCAGGTGGATCTGTATATGTTTTTCTTAGGGTTCACCTTGTTACTTAGCATCTCTAGGATCATGAACTATAGGCTCAATGTCCTTTGTTTATAGCTAGTATCGACTTACAAGTGAGTACATACCATATTCATTTTTTTGGGTCTGGGTTTCCTCACTCAGGATGGTATTTTCTAGTTTCATCCATTTGCATGCAAAATTCAAGATGTAATTGTTTTTTACCACTGAATAGTACTCTAATGTGTAAATGTGCCACACTTTCTTTATCCAATCTTTTGTTGAGGGGCATCTGGGCTGTTTCCAGGCTCTGGCTATTACAAACAATGCTGCTATGAACATAGTTGAACATTATATGTCTTTGTAGTATGATTGAGCATCTTTTGGGTATATGCCCAAGAGTGGTATTGCTGGATCCTGATGTAGGTTGGTTACCAATTTTCTAAGAAACCACCATACTGATTTCCAAAGTGGTTGTACAAGTTTGCATTCCCACCAGCAATGGATGAGTGTTCTCCTTACTCCACATCCTAGGACATCACAAAACCTTGAGGGAAGTCCCTGTCCCACCTACCCACTGAAAAGATCAGTCACTCAGCCTAACAAGCCTTTGTTGTGGTTTCAGCTGTTTGTTTTTTAAACAGTGTCTGGCTACACAGCCTAAATCGGCCTGAAGGGACAACTGTCCAAGCTGTCAGATCTACAGCTGTGCTCCAGCCTCAGCTTCGCGTGTGTCACCACTCCCGTTCCTCCTTTCAGGAAAGAAAAAAGTGTCTATAGCTTAATCCTAACGGTGTGCTCTTCACAAACACCGAATGTTAAATTAGCTCTTTTTCTCCACGGGCTCTGTCCAGAATTCCATGCTTGGGTTTCATTTTCTGAACCCAAGGTACTCTGTACCCTGCACACTGTCATCAATCTAAGGACACCGCCTGTCCTGAATAGTTCAAGTCCACTTCATAAAGCAGATTTCCCTGCTCTGAAGTCTGCTTTTCGTCTAAACTTTACATGAAGATTAACACCAATAACTACTAATTCTGAGATAAGTATATCGAACATCTGTTAAATGTATGATTTCCTGTTTAGAAACTTTAAAAAATTTTTATTAAAATATAATTACATTATTTCCTTCCTTCCCTTTCCTCCCTCAGACCCCTTCCATCTTCCTGTCAAATTAATGGCCTCTTTTTCTTTGGAGACTTTACTATTTATGCAAATACTATGCATAAAATAAATAAATACATCTTGCTGATTCCATTTAGTGTTGCTTGGGTGCATATGATTTCAGGCTGACCACATGATATGGAATAACCAATTTTCATGTATCCTCTTAATGCTTAAAATCTACATATACTCTCAAACCAAAAAGACTAAGAAATGTTTGTCAAATGATTTTACATGTAAAAAATAATACCATACCAAATAAAACATACATTCTCTAAAGTTATCTGAAATGTTATGGTTTTTCTGTATTGCAATATACAATCTTAACCATATGCAAAACTGTTAAAATAAGCTAAAGAAAATCCAATAGAAATGGAACTAATGCAAACTCAGAATGCCACACCATCAGTGAGTAAATCTCTATAGCATTTTCTTAAAATCTGACACAGAATAGTTTTTAAAGAAAAAAAACTTGCAAAAAAAAAACACTGTACTGAAAACATGTATATTTCAGAACGTTAATTATGTTACTATACATTCCTAAGCTTAAGAAGGATATAGCAGGTAACCAAAAGCAATCAAACAATAATTTCAAACATGAAAGAAATTATTTCAAAAATACCTTCTTCATGAATATCAATTATTCATATCGGTCAAAAATTGTCTTACAAGATAT